GGGATCGTGTTCATGCCCCCACTCCAGCGATGCAGTAAGTAAATCAGCCACGGGAAGGAGACATTGCGTAGGTGGGGCAACTCAACTCAAATAATACCTTGCTATATTTGACCGAGAACGAGAAGGAGGACTAGAAAAAGAAGTGAGATTAAGCTCTATATATATCTAGATTAGTAGGAATTGGGGTGATTAAATGAATAATTAGCAATGACATAAAACACACAGAATACAGCTTGGAATTGGACGAGAGAATAAAGTTGCAAAGAAAAGAGAGCGATTCTTCGGTGCCTCAGTTGCCCATGCATGACCTTTATTGGGTTTATAAATTGTGGGAGCTTAAAGAAGAAAAGAAATGGATAAGAAAATGACATTTTGTAGGTGACTATGGGGGCAGTGGTAATTAGATGTTGGGAGCTTTGGCAAAGGCCAGCTTGGAACAAATTGAAAGCGAGAGAGTAGCTACCTCTCTATATATGATGAGCTGCTCGAAAATACTTGGCTCTTTATATATAAAAATAATAATTAATTTTTCTTGCAAAAAAAATAAAAAGAATCATTAATTTTCATTACTAACAAATCTTAACTTGATTGTTTTTTGGTTTTAGTTAATATATATACGGTGAGTTTCCATGGTATATGGAATTTAAAAGCGTTTTTCATATAGAAGCACTTAACTCCTATATTTATAAATGAGTCGAATCACAATTAGACATGTATTTTTTTAGTATCTTTTTAGTGATCGGTTGTATATATGTATCATACTATGATTAACAGTTAAGAAGAAATGCAAAAGCCAAGCAATATTAACATAAAATATGTATTTATTTATATATTTATTATATGTATACAGTATAGACGTATGTATACTTGAGATGTACACAAAGTGATTAACATGAAGATCAATGTCATTGAAGTAAGATAAAGATATGTATGGCAGAAGCACTGTGCCAGACCGAAGCAACATAGGGGGAACAACCTTTTCTCATACCCCTCCTTGTTTGCTACAACCCCAAATCTTCTATCCCTCACTCACTCTTCCTTTGGACCCTAAACCTTTCTTCAGGACCAAGCTTGCCTACCTGTCCCCCACCCACCCAAAATAAATAAACAAATTAAATTTAGGTGCCCTTTACTTGCCAAAACCATCCCAAATTTGAAGGGGAAGGGGGTTTTTGGGGCGTGTGAATCTAACTCCACTCGTTTTTTGAGATCCAGACTTGCACTTCCCGTCTGTGACATGTATGATGCAAACAATTTAATACATTTAGATAAACTGTGACTTTGTGAATGATTTCCTTGGTCGCATCAATAAATAACCTATGACTTGCATAAAAAGAAGATCACATTGTTGGATTGTTGGAACAAAACAAGATATATAATTGAACTGTTTTTTTTTTTTTTTTTAACGCGTGACAGATTTGCTCAAACCAAGTAAGAACGATTGTTGGAAATATGTTAGGTCGTTGATAATTGTTGATGCATAAAATCAGTTAGGACTTTGGTACAACAGAAAGTGTTAAGTTTGTGACCTTCGCTAGATTACTCCGGTCACTAGTGTGGATAAGTATGCAAATAGATAGCGACAGGGAAGCAAACACAAGATGTACGTGATTCACTCAGATTGGCTACGTCCACGGAGTAGAGGAGTTCTCATTAATTGTGAAGGGTTTACACAAGTACATAGGTTCAAGCTCTCCTTTAGTGAGTACTAGTAAATGATTTAGTGCAAATGACATTAGGAAATATTGTGAGAGAATGATCTCTATTTATAGAAGAGAGTTTTTAGTTTCATTATGAGATTGACACGTGTCGTGTTGTGATTGGTTTCTGATGTCAACATGTGTCGCGTTATGATTGGCCTCTGATATTCACATGTGTCGCGTTGTGATTGGCCTCCTGGTTGGAGGGAGACTCTTGTGGGTCCTTGGCGGTATAATGTTAACCGGTGCTTAGTAGTTTAGGGGTTGGTCAAGTATGTTACAAACAATAATGATGATGCATATGTGGTCATTGCATATATGTACATGTACATATATAAAAGATCTGGAAGGAGCCGTGCTAATGTCAATCATGCATGCATGATACTATCATAGTCTTTCATGTGTGTAGCAACTGTGGAGCTTTCAAGTGCTGGCGTAACACATGATTGGCGCTTACATGCACTCTATTTGTTTCGAGATTGTACATCTTAAATAAAGTTCTAGTGCTCAAATGAGTAATTTCTAGACCGTTGCTTAGGTTATATGAGTTATGTTAATTGAATTCTCATCCACAATAATAAAAGAAAATCTCATGATAGTATGAACAATTAGGTCACGGCCGGCACCTCTCAAATTAATGGGATGATTACAAAAACATGATAACTGGTCATGCATGTGTGAGGGCTAAAATTGAAACAAGGATTTGTGGAAGCATGTATTGATCTTAAAATAATTAATTTATATATGTTACTCGTTTCACATAACAAATCCTATATTCTTCTGCACGTGTATTAGATGCTCATGTAGTGCATGTATTTCTGCATTAGTTTTGCAAAAGAGAGAGAGAGAGAGAGAGAGAGAGAGAGAGAGAGAGAGAGAGAGAGAGAGAGAGAGAGAGAGTGGTGGGTTTATGGGCGTTGGGTGCGGAATTTAGTCGATTGCATGTTTGATAAAGTTGGGTTCATGTCTTGGCTTTTGAGAGACGTAGTCTTGGTCTCTTGGATTAGTTCAAAAGTCTTTGAACTCCAAGCAATTTATCAAACACCTCAATCGAACCTCCTACGACTTTTGAACTTTTTATAACTTTAACACCTTCATGTTCCGTCTTTGTCTCCCCTCATCCCCTCTCTCACTCTTTTTGCTTTAATCTCCCCTTAACCTTATCTTTTACCTCTTGCATTATTACACCAACCGATACCAAATGGCACACGTGTCGCTCTAATCAAATAGAATCTAATACAATAATATCATCAAACATCTGACTATTATCATGCGTGCATATGACGTAGATATTAATGAGTCTTTTGAATCTACAAAAATTTTCATATATCAAAATGTTTAATGAGTCAAGAAAAATTTTAGGTTCAATTTTATGTTAAATAGTATATCACGTGAGAAATATAATTAAAGGTGCCAACAAGAAATTAATATTGAAGGGGGTAGATTTTTGTCTGATGGGTGGGAAAGCAATCACTTCACTTTATTATACACATAATACATATATTAATTAACTAATTTGTTGTTATCATTACTAATATCTTACAGAATTTTAGGGTGGCTCATCACCATGAGCCTATGCCTGAGAAGGAGTAATGTGAAGGGAACAAGGTATGTGCATGGCCGCTGAAGGCTGTCCCAAAAGATCTGTTAATCCCATATTAACAAAATTATATATTTACTATGTGTGTTTAATCATAAAATAAAATATGATTAGTAACAAATCGTAAAAGTTAATTTAAAAAAAAAAAAAGGGAGAAAAAGAGCAAGAAGGCAGATCAGCTGCTCTCCAAAGACGAGATTGTTACTTTATTAACTGTTTGTTTGTCTCCACTAGGCACTAAGCAAACTGCCTTTGCTTCCTCATCTTTCCTTCATATTGTTCTTTTATTCTTATTTCTTATAAGGGGCTAGGGTTCTTAGAGAATAAAGAAACAGTTGTCTGCCCCATCAAGTTCCTTGGTTTGGTTGGTCCATTGTGTCTGGATAAAGCTCTAGATTAATATTTTATAAGCTCTTAAATTTGTTTAACATAGTTTCTAAAACACAATTATTATTGAGAAGGGAGACATTAACCAATCAAAGCATGTCTAAGTTGTCTCTATGGCCTTATATATGGATGTCATCATTTAACTGTAAAAGATTATTGCATGGTATTGAAACACTATCACATGATATAATAAGTTAATATGTAGTATACAACGATTTTATATTTGGATACAATTGTTTTATACTCCCCTTTCAGTATTACCTTGAATTAGTTGTACCATTTAACGATACTTCAGTAACAACACACAATGATTTCTCAATCCGATCGACACCCTTCTTTCTAAACCTTCTGTAAAACGAGCATCTAGGACCTAGAGCTGCTTTAGAGAAAAAAAAAGAAAAAAAGAAAAACCTAAAAATTACTCTCTGTCATTCACTTATGAACTCACAACCGTACAGCAGAAGAGCCCCTGCAGCCGTTGAATTGAACATTTCTCCTTGACAGCAAACTGAGTAGCACACATGAATTAATTAAAAGCCTCTGTATGTATATTTAATTTGATTGGGGGCTTTCAAAAAATTGTACAATCTGGAAGTGGGACATTGAATGTGATTAAATTAACATTTTATCTACTCTCCAACTTTATAATCAAGGAGGGCCTGCATGCAATTTGATTGCCAAGCATGCATGGTTAATTACACAGAAACATGACCAGAAATAAAAAAGAAAAATGGGAAAAGATTTCACTTTTGGGGAAGATGGTCAGTACATTACCAGGACCAGAATAAATAGATAGACAAGTATTATATATTAGGTAAAAGGAGATTAAATATTTGATTCCTTTAAGTTAATTGAATACTTGAGAACTTTTTCCACCTGTTAGAGCCTGAGTAGGTTATTTGGTTTTAATAAAAATTTAATTCAGGTACCAAACTATTTGGTATATTTTTAGGCGAAAAATTAATATATGAATGTTTCACTGCGGTCATTTGCAGAATATTTCTCACAAAGACATAAGATTCTCATATTATGAATTTATTAACTTAACATTGGCTTCATATGATGTGAGAGCTGTTCAAATTAGGCATTGAAGTTTTTTTTTTTAATTAGAGAAATGACACAAAACCGAGCGCAATGGCATTCTATGATTCATATAGCTGACCCCACTTAGTGGGAAAAGGCTTTGTTGTTGTTGTTGTTGTTGTAGAGAAATGAATCCACGTGGGTTATGTTGCATGGACATGGTGGGCCAACCTTGTAACAAAATATATCAAACTGACTAGTCTTTTGTTTGGGATTTGGCTACATCTCCTTTCCGGTGTAGTTGTGTGTGTGTATATATTATGCACATAGATTCACGGCCTGAGATAGCGGCTTTTTATGTATTTTCACTTGAAGTTTCTCAACACATCTGAGTAGAAAATGGGAAGAAAAGCTGCAGCTTATTCATCATCTTCTTCAATAGATAGCAGCAACCATCCTGATCATCATCTTCCTAGCCCTACTGCCTCATCATCTTCTTCCTCTCTTTCTCGGAAAATCAATGGAAATTACTGCAATAGCCTCAGCATCACCAGAACAGATTTGAGCACTGATCTGAGACTTGGCCTCAGCATCTCTCCTTCTCATCACAGTGACTTGTCTTCCACTTCAACCCCAAGGTATGTATGAAAAACCACCATTCTATTTTTTTCCTTTCCTGACGAGCAAAAAGTCCTCATCTCGGTTGGCTTTTGTGGTTTATAGACACACACACACACACACACACACACACACACACACATACACACACACACACACACACATATATATATATATATATATATATATATATAAACTAATATTTAAGTATGTATATATGTTATGACTGAAAGTTGATGACATTTTTTCAGGGAGCAAGCACTGATAAACTGGCCACCAATCAAATCTATCTTGAGGAGCACACTTGCAGGGAGAGGAGCAGACAACAGGCGCCATCCCTCCTTATTTGTGAAGGTCTACCTGGAGGGCGTTCCAATTGGTAGAAAATTGAATTTGTTTGACCATGATGGTTATTCTGCTTTGATTTCATCTCTTTGCCTCATGTTCCAGACCACCATTCTATGTAAGTTCTGTTTTTTTCTAAAATTAAATAATTTATTATAGGACCACTAGTTTATGAGATCAAATCATATTTGGGTTTGCTTTTTATTTATGTATTTTAATTTGGGCACTATTTTTTGGGAGCAGGTCCCGAGAATAATCATTTTCATTTGGACAAATATCATGTGTTAACTTATGAAGATCAAGAAGGGGACTGGATGCTGGTTGGAGATGTGCCTTGGGAGTAAGTACGCATAACCCTAGGACTGCTGGTTTGGTAACCAAATAACGAAATGGTTATCCAATGGGCATTTAGTAACTCTATTTCCATTACAAACCTCTCCTCCGTTTTTCATAATACTTGTGTGTCCTAACATTGTGTTTCTCATATTTTGGCTTTGAAACACAGGATATTCTTGACCACAGTGAAAAGGTTGAAGATCACTAGAGCAGACAGACGTTAGTTGAATTATATTTTGGTCATTCTTAGATAAATATTTTTGTCTTAGTGGTGGTTTATAACTTCTTACTCAAAAGAAATCAGATTTAATACATATTTTGGCTAAGGCCAATCTTGTGTACATTATCAAATATATAACAGTTGCATTTTCTTTTCTTTTTTCATAATCTTATTAAGAGGAGGGGAGAAAGTTTGAAACTATTACAACAATATAGGGAAATGGAGGAGTTTCAAATTCGGGATGTATGGGGAGAAACCCAACACTCTATCCATTAGGATATTGGACCACGTGCTATAATCTAATTTAATTTTCGAAGAGAGATTTAAACTTGAATGTAGAAAGAATATATTTAAGCCAAATTAGTACACCCGTGTCATAACAGTTGTATTTTTATACTTCTTGTATTTCTTAGAAGCATCTTCAAAATCCAGATCAAACCAACTTATTCCAGAAGTAAAAGTGAAGGAAAACATGGGACTTTTGAAATATTGCTATGAGGGTTTGCTAATATAGGACCATACTTGGTCTTTATTTTTCCTTGTGCACTTCCTTTTTTTTCTCTTCTGTGCTTTTCGCGTTGTTAGGTGGGAATTGATTTGGTTTAAAGTCCCTTGTCACAACAAGATTGTTGCCTTTTAATTCCCGTGATGAAGAATTATAATTAGCAACAATGTTCCTCATCAAAGACATCACTTGCATGCTACACGTGTTGGTGAGCTTAGACGTGCACGCCATCATGCTCATGATTCCTATCGTTTTGATTGCAGAAATTAACTCGGATTAATTCACAGATAGATGATAAAGTTATAAACATCATAATTTTGATCTTAATAATAATGTTAAGAAGTGGAAACATTGACCACCCAATTTCTTGAAACGTGGTGGTGGTGTCTCAAAAATTACTAGGAAGCTAAACCCTATTTTTCGTAATCTCAACGGTTAAAGAGAATTTAAACCGGTTACGTATCTACTTGTATCTATCTCTTTTGTTATGTGAATACAATCGAAAATAGCGGAAGATTATCTTCAGCTGCTAAGCTTAAAGTTTGTTGTCCACAAAACCCTTTTATTTATTCTTGTTATATTCTTGGCAGGCCAACTTAGATGAACCAACCACTAGGTTACATTACATCATGAGCAGTACTAAGGGACCTAAATTGATAATCAGAGAAAAATGGCAAATGGCAAACGGGGCAATGATCTTCCTTATTGATTAAATTGTGTGACCACCAAGGGAATTATAAAAGTTTAATTAGCTACCAGGTCATCCTCATCAATGATGTCATGTTGGAAATCTATCCAAGGTCTAGAGTGTCACTGTGTTAGGTACCCCAACCCTTACCGGTTCAACCCCAATCAACAATATAAGAACCAAACCATACCAGCTCAAATCATCCCTTGAAAACTTATGTCCTCGTTTCATAACTATATCTCTTATCACGTAACTAGTCATTTAAGAGATAGAAAAAGAGGTATGGAACAAAGGCTATATGCAAGCTATTCCCTTGCTATGGGCATAATTTGAACATCAAGAGATGTGAATTTGGTGGGTTACAATAGAGAATCAATACAGTTGGAAAAGTATTAGGTTATAAAGGGTGATGTTAATTACACACCTATTTTTACCTTTCTCACATTTTTTTTCAATTTTTTGTTGTAGGGTGGAATATATTGAAGAAGATTAAAGGATATAAATTAACATGAAATGTGTAGGAGGTAAAATGAAATATGTGGTAGCACCACCTAAGTTACAAATAGAGAGTCAACACAATTTCATAAGTTAAATTATTGCCCCGTTGGACTTTATGGGCCATGATCTTCCACTCACTAATTTGGATTAAGTTCAAAGATAATTTATGAAGAAAAACGTATTGAAAATTTGTATTTTAAAAGTCCAAGAAATGAATATGCAAATATCACGCCAATTGGTTAAGTTGGTGTGCCCGTTCCCTTCTACTCAAGTTTTAATCCGCTTTCAATAAAAAAAGTTATAAAGATGCCAGAATATTACAACAGGCCATGGTATGAATTTAAAGGTACCCAACGTTCAAAGAAACAGAGGGGAGAAATAGCAATGGGTGCACATTCAATCAGAAACGATGAATTAAAGCAAAAAATGGAGACCCAAAATTTTGAAAGGGCTGCTACAGGGACAGTATAGCTATATCGTTGCAATACATCAGGCCACTCACAGTATCAGCGTAAATTACACTTGCACCCCCTCCAGCTACCATGGTCCAGATGCGTCCTTTTGGGTTCAACACAGTGAATTTTAAGGACGCGCTTGTCTGCAATATATATGTTTAACTTTAGTTTGAACAATTCTTAAAAAGTGCTGATCCTTAAGTAAATTGAAATTTATCATAAATTTCTTTCCGCACAAGGAACGGTTAGGTTATTACCCTTTCATCCAGAGAATGAATAAACGTTTCTGTAGGACTTAAGACTCTGCCGAAAGGCAGTGGAAACTCCACACTGCCCCATCTGAATAGTATTACAAATATCGTCAGAAGGAAAAATCAAACCAAAAGTAGTCAACTAGAAACAGGTAGAACTAAAGTATGGAAAATCTTCAAGAGAAATATACTTATTGAAGTTCTTGAAGGCAGCAGTGTCATCCAGCTCCCCCCTCATATCTACGGATAAGGTTCACCATCAACCAAGGTAAATGGGTTCATTTCCAGGAAACTAAAATCCAAATCTGCAAAAGAAAATCAGGAATGCAAACTTCCACAGCAACAAGAGCATGTACCTAACTAATCATTACATAGCTAATCACAGTATTACACTGTACGATACGTTTCGTAATCCATATTTGGACATTCGTACCCTGGAATTTAGAAAATACGCCCTTTATGAAATCTCCAATTTTGTCTCTGACCTGTAAGCAGCAGAATACATTAAGCATATGTCCCAAAACCGACAAAAAAATTGAGTACGCAGAGCATAGTAGTAATAATACGATGATGATCAAACGGATTCACAAGAAATATAGCAACAAAAAACTGGTTCCCTTTGCACTAATGGTAGAATTGTTCTCATCAAGTTCAAACTGAAGGGCAGCAACCTCTTAAACGAAGAATTGTTCTCGCTGTCTCCATCTCAACCTGTTCGCAGACTGTTTCGGTTTGTTTCTGGTGAGACAACTGTAACAGCTGATCCTCTTGAAAGTGGCTATTAAGTAACCTCACCTCCTCAAGGTCCGTAGCCATTTTGTCCAGCTTAGCTTGCAAAGCCTTCCTCTCAACGTCTTCAGTGATCGTCATTATCATGCCCTCGTTTTCTTTATGTAAATCACCTGATTTCAGAAAATGACACGTTTCAGCTCAGATTGGATTTCTAATTTGTCCTTGTTGCGTGAGACTTCCATGTATCTGCAGCTTTCCTCCTACACATGATGTAACACAATTATTAAATGAACCCGCAACAATCTAGCATTCAATTACTCTTTTTTGAGTATCATCACCTACATTTAGATCTACATGAATCAAATGGTTTTGTAGAAACTCATCACATACCTGAGTGTAAGATGCTATTTCATCTCCAGAGTCACTTCTTATAGACAAGGTTTCAACCTGAAAAGTGGTTGCCAATCATAAATTTGATTCCAAGAAGAAGGCAAAGTGCAACACAACGTGATGTCTATGTAGGTTATAATCTGTCTAGAACTAGTTGCTCTCTAGCTCATTTAAAATGAATAACAAGCTGCAGAATTTCTTCTCGCTGCCGTGAGTGAGTCCTTCTGTTTTCTTTTGAGTAAAATGAAGCGTGCAAGAATGGAAGTGGCAAATTTCCAAGCACAAGGTAGAAAAGTGAAACACAACGTGATGTCTATGTAGGTTATAATCTGTCTAGAACTAGTTGCTCTCTAGCTCATTTAAAATGAATAACAAGCTGCAGAATTTCTTCTCGCTGCCGTGAGTGAGTCCTTCTGTTTTCTTTTGAGTAAAATGAAGCGTGCAAGAATGGAAGTGGCAAATTTCCAAGCACAAGGTAGAAAAGTGAAACACAACGTGAAATCATGGCATGGATAGCTTTTGTTTACTTGCACAGAAAATGAACTGGGATATAGCAACAAAGATAAAAAATAATAATGTAAATTGAAAATAACTCCAGTATTTGAAGAATGGTCTCCGACGTAAACTAATTGGATACTGTTTGAAATGGTACCAGGCATATCGATTAGGTTGATAAAAAGGATTGAAACTTTGAGCAAGGGTTTGAAGAAATTTGTTTCTTTCAAGAGAGAGAGGGAAGAGCAAGAGTCGATGTATTTTTCATATATCTCAAAAGACAAATTACAAAAGACTATATCTTTTTACAGCCAGTCTAAAATCAGATCCTACATCTAGGAACCTAGAACTCCTCTCCGACCATAAATGGTTATTGGAGGATATCATCCATCCACTTGGAAGAAGATGGGAAGGCTCAGTCCAATTAACAAGACAAAAGAAAGAAAAACACCAGCTGTAACTTTCTTAAACTAGTAAAAGAAACTAGCCGTTGAATTTCAATGGCTACTCCTGATTTAGTAAAGTCTTAATTTCTTCACATTTCTCAGCTCATTTTTTATTTCATCTGCAGGTTTAGCTTCTGCAGGGTAACTTCTAAAGCAAGAATGCAGCTTAATTCTCAACAGCCTCTTCTAAGCTGCATACTGGCTTTACTCCTAACTTCATCCTCAAGTAATTGAATCGATCTTTAGGCAAAGCTTTTGTAAATATATCTGCCAACTGCTCTTCACTTCTGCAGTACTTCACATCAATGGATCCTTGCTGCAATGCTTCTCGAATAAAATGATATTTCCTGTTTATGTGTCTGGTTCTCTGATGAAAAACAGGATTTTTTACCATCGATATTGCAGACATGTTATCACAAAACAATGGTGTTGCATCAGCTTGCAATTCACCAAAATCATCCAAAACAAATCTTAGCCAGATGGCTTGAGCTGTTGCTCCTGCTGCTGAGACATACTCAGCTTCTGCAGTTGACAATGCAACTGTGTTTTGCTTGACTGAGGCCCATGAAAATGTACCACTACCAAAACTGAATGCATACCCGGATGTGCTCCTACTGTCATCTTCACTGCCAGCCCAATCTGAGTCACAAAATCCAATCAAAACAGCATCCTTGTCCCTTGTAAATTCAATGCCATAGCTGAGAGTACCTTGAATGTATCTAAGAACTCTTTTAGCTATTCCCATGTGCTTCTTCGTGGGACCATGCATGAACCTTGATAGCAAACTGGTTGCATACATTATATCAGGCCTAGTTGCAGTTAAATATAGCAAACTGCCAACTATTTTCCTGAACAACCCTTCATCAGTCAACTCACTTCCATCAACTTTCTTCAGTTTCTCACCTGTTGATAGAGGTATTGTCACTGACTTACAATCCTCCAGACCAAACTTTACAAGTAAGGACTTTGCATATTTGCTTTGATGAATAAAAACCCCTCTTTCAGTTTGTAGAACTCCCATTCCCAAGAAATGATGTAAAAGTCCTAAGTCAGTCATCTCATATTTCTGCATCATGTCTCTTTTAAACTCACTGAGCAGTGTATTGCTACCTCCAGTGTATACTATATCATCAACATATATAGAGACTATGATCATATTTCCTTCATCATCAGTTCTAGTGTATAAGGTAGCCTCACTTATGCTTCTTTTGAAATTGCAGTTTGTGAGATAAGTGTCAATCTCACTGTACCAGGCTCTAGGAGCCTGCTTCAAACCATAGAGAGCCTTCTTCAACTTATAGACCTTGTGACTTGCATTTTTTACTTCAAAACCCTCGGGTTGCTCAGTGTAAACCTCATCCTCAAGCACTCCATTTAAGAAGGCTGACTTAACATCTAGTTGGAACAATTTCCAACCCTTTTGTGCTGCAAGTGCAATCAAAGTTCGAATTGTATCCAACCTTGCCACTGGGGCAAAGGTTTCATTGTAGTCAATACCAGGTTTCTGAGCATATCCTTTTGCCACAAGTCTAGCCTTGTGTTTTTGAACTGATCCATCGAGATTCAGTTTGGTTTTGAACACCCATTTGACTCCTATGACAGGCTTGTCTGCAGGTCTTTCCACCAGCTCCCAAGTTCCATTCTTCTCAATGGTTTCAATCTCAGAATTCATTGCTTCCTTCCATGCATTGTCTTCAATGGCTTCATGATAAGTTTCAGGTTCAATAATGGTCATGTTACATCTTGCATAAATGTCCTCCAAGCTTCTCAGCTTTACTGGTGTATTGCTTAGTGTTGAGCCTTGACTTGTACTGGCAATGTTGCTTCCAGGAACATGTTCATCATCTGAGATTAATTGAGTAGGATTTGAAGAGTCAATACTATGAGGTTCATGAAAATGTTCTTCAGTTTCTGTCATCTCAGTGTTTTCATTTCCAATAGTGAGAGGTATGTAGACAGATTCATCTTGCTTGCTTTGCCAGTTCCAGGTCTTATTCTCATCAAACACTACACTCCTTGAGAGAATAATCTTCTCTGTTTGAAGATTATAGATTCTGTAACCTTTTTCACAACTGCCATACCCCATAAAAATTCCTTTGCTTGCTTTGTCATCAAACTTCTGTCTAAGCTTGGATGGAATGTGACTATAACAGATACATCCGAACATTCTCATGTGTTTTACACCTGGCTTTCTTCCTGTGAAGGCTTCAAATGGAGTCTTGCCCTTTACTGAGATTGTAGGACATCTATTTTGCAGATATACTGAAGTTCCAACTGCTTCAGCCCAGACAATCACAGGAATGTTCTTCTCAGCCATCATAGATTTTGCCATTTCACAAATGGTTCTATTTCTTCTCTCAGCAACTCCATTTTGCTGAGGAGAATATGCTACTGTCAATTGCTCTCCCATTCCAGTGCTGGAACAGAAGTCTGAGAATTCATGGGATGTATATTCACCTCCTCTGTCACTTCTCAGCTTCTTGAGCTTAAAACCACTTTGTAGTTCCACAAGGACTTTGAATTTTTTAAACACATTGAACACATCAGATTTGTTTCTAAGAAAGTACACCCAACACATTCTTGAGAAATCATCTATGAATGTTATGAAATATCTGTTGCCACCAATGGATTCATTCTGCATTGGTCCACAAACATCTGTGTGTACCAGTTCTAATGGATTACTAGCTCTCCAAGCTTTCTCTTTATCAAATGGTTCCCTATGCATCTTCCCAGACACACAACTCTCACAGATTTCTTTCATTTCAGATAGTTCAGGCAAACCAAGCACCAACCCTTCTTTCTGCATCCTTTTCAGACTTGCAAAGTTCAAGTGACCTAGCCTTTTATGCCAGATCCAAGACTCTTCTTCAATTGATGCTTTTCTGGCCACTGGATTTATAGATTCAAGAGACAATGGAAAGCATCTGTTCCCTGTCATTACTACCTTGGCTACCACATTCTCAAGGTTGCTGTCATCGAAGATCACAGCCATGTTGCCTCCAAACAGAACATAGTAGCCGTGTTCCATCATTTGACCAACACTCAGCAGCAGTTTTCATCTAATCCTGGAACCAACAGGACTTCATTGATGTATCTCTTCCCATGCTTTGTATTTACTACCAGTGTTCCCTTGCCTGTTGCTTGAACCAAATCTCCAGTCCCCATTTTAACTCTACAAGTCACTGATCTGTCAAGATTCAATAGAAGAGACTCTTGAGAAGTCATGTGATTGCTGCAAGCGCTATCCACAAACCACACAGATTTATCTTGTTCTATTGATGCTGAGTGACAAGCATAGAACATTGTACCAGTGGTTACATCTTCTTCCTTGGCACAATTAGCCACTTGTCTGTTGTTATCACAGTCTTTTGCCATATGACCAAACCTATTGCACTTTCCACACTTAGCTTTTCCTTTATATCTACACACACACCAAAATGGTATTTCTCGCAGACTTGACACTGTGGTTTCACACCACTTTGACTATTACTCCCTTGCTTGTTCTGTGGATTGAACTTATTGTTCCAACTTCCTCCAGAGTTGTTGTTCCAGTTTGATCCACTGGTATTGCTCCAGTTCCCATTCTGAGACCAGTTCTTCCCCTTTTTATATTGAGTCCATTTTGAGTTTGTCTTATACTGAGAGCCTTTGAAATTTCCATTACTGCTTCCGTTTCCTCCAACCTTGAGACTGCTGAAGGCCCTCTCTGTACCAGTGTATTTATCTCTTTCATCATGCAAGTCTTCTCTTTTATCATAGACTTTCACTGAGGCTAGGACTTCTTCAACTCTAATACTGTCCAGATCTCTGGTTTCCTCAATGATTGACACTATGGACTTATATCTCCTATTTAGACTCATCAACAGCTTTTGAACAATCCTTTTTTCGGTTACATCTTCTCCACGAGATTTCAGGTTGTTTACTATCTCAAAGAACCGAGCCAAATAGTCATCCAGAGATTCAACATCATTCATCCTTAAATATTCAAAATCTGCTCTAATGGCTTGTAATTTCACTGCTCGTACCTTTTTATCTCCTCTGAACTCTCTTCTCAAGATTTCCCAGGCACCCTTTGCAGTCTTCTCATTTCGGATTCTGGGAAAAAGCTCATCAGTGATTGCACTTTGGATGAGACTCAACGCCTTGGCATTCTTGATCCTCTCCTCCTTTGTAACAACAGGAGCTTCAACCGGAATGTTTTCCGTCTCGCTTTCTCCTTCTTCCTCAGAGCCTTCTTCTCTGGGAGTTTGTTGTTCAGGTAACCCAGCTTCAACCACATCCCATAGATCGTAGGCTATGAGAATGGTTTCCATTTTAATGGCCCAAAAATCGTAGTTTGATCCATTAAATTGTGGTGTTCGTAAATCACCACCAGATGTGCTCGATCCAGCCATTTCTTGAGCTAGAATACAAAGAGTCACAATAAAAGAACCACCTTTAAGGTTTTCTTTTTTTTTTTTTTTCCGGAGTTGGATTTCTCTCACAGTATAACGCCCTTTCTTCGGAATCAGACCAATAGCTCTGATACCATGTTTGAAATGGTACCAGGCATATCGATTAGGTTGATAAAAAGGATTGAAACTTTGAGCAAGGGTTTGAAGAAATTTGTTTCTTTCAAGAGAGAGAGGGAAGAGCAAGAGTCGATGTATTTTTCATATATCTCAAAAGACAAATTACAAAAGACTATATCTTTTTACAGCCAGTCTAAAATCAGATCCTACATCTAGGAACCTAGAACTCCTCTCCGACCATAAATGGTTATTGGAGGATATCATCCATCCACTTGGAAGAAGATGGGAAGGCTCAGTCCAATTAACAAGACAAAAGAAAGAAAAACACCAGCTGTAACTTTCTTAAACTAGTAAAAGAAACTAGCCGTTGAATTTCAATGGCTACTCCTGATTTAGTAAAGTCTTAATTTCTTCACATTTCTCAGCTCCTTTTTTATTTCATCTGCAGGTTTAGCTTCTGCAGGGTAACTTCTAAAGCAAGAATGCAGCTTAATTCTCAACAGATACTAGGCTGGAAACAAATTGATATATCTCACTTACTATTGAATA